GTTAGGTCAGGCCTGAATTACTAAGTGTGGCTTCTGGTTCCTATGGTGCAGCGTTTGGCAGCAAGAAGTTGTGGAGCTCGGGATGTAATGCAGACAGCCTGCTGCTGGGTTCATTGAGTGACCACTCAAAGGGCAGTCTTATCTCTCCAAACTGCAGACCAACCCCTTTATACAGCAAAATCTAACTAAACATCAGATGTGTTCCACCTATTGTCCCCAGGTTTCCCCAGCAGAAGCGCTGGTACCCACAGGTCCAAGCCGGAGAGCAACAGAGAGGCGGGTAGTACCAGACGCCCACTCAACAGCTGGGGACATACAGAACAGAGCTGGGCACCAGAGTTAAACAGGTCCAGTGTTTGGTTGTGGGTAGGCTGCTGACTAACTCAGGTACCAACCGGCAGCAGATTAGGTACCTGGTTAGTCTTCCCTTGGAGGGGGGAGATATGTGGCAGAAATGCCTCTGCCACGTGTTCTTGGAGGGGCCTGCTTGCCAGCCTCCTGCCAAAAGACTATGGGCCCTGTAAAAATCATGTGAAAAGACTTTGTTCATGCAATGGCTCTATTCTGTTCGGGAACCGAACAGGCGCACAAAACAGAGACCACCCGGGAGCTTGTTAAGCCTGATTGACCGTTTGTAACACTTCCCACCGCAGGGGTGTCGGCCATCTTGTTCCCACAAACGCATCGGTGTTTGGTCGTCGAGTTCATGGAACTGTTTTCGGACAACTCCCGAACACCGCTGGACTTCCAGGAGCGCCTGTGTTTGGTTCTACACAAGCTAGAAGGGCATTGTTTGGTGGAAACGTTCCCACGAACAAGGTAAACAAGCTCCAGGGTAAGACTCTTGACTATGTTCGGTAGTTTGTTCGGTTTTTAAACTACCGAACTAGACCGATTGCAAGCCTGATTCTCTGGAACTGTTTTGGGCAGGAGCCGCATGTGCGGTCGATCAAACTATGACTTCCTTGGTAATCCCAAACCCCTTAACCGATCTGGGTGATTTTTAGATATTTTGGTCCCCCAGATTGGGGCTTCCATGTGTTTTGGGGGTATTTTTAATATGTTATAAAAATGTGTGGTTTTGTGTGTGGAGATAATTGAGTTAATACAGTGCTTGACTCAATTATCTCCCAGGTACAGAGGAGGGATTTACTTATTATGTATGGGAGTGTCCTGGATCTGAGAGCCAATGTGATTGTGTATTTATTTCTTCTGTGGCTTACACTCAGGTCCAGCGGGGAGTGCCCCTTGCATGGGGGCCTGCATATACGGCCAGTTGTGGCTACCATTAAACAGTTCCTGTCTACCCTCAACATAGAGTCTCATCTCATGTGTGGGAGGAGCAGCTGTATCTGCTCTGGGGATTGCTATATCATGATACTCCCCTGGGTTATAATCACTTGCTCTTGTAAGAGCACCTTACTTTGCTCTCTGGCTTAGGAGAGGTCTACCCACTGGAAGCTGGATCCTGGTCTTGGGTCCAGGGTGGGTGAAGGACAGCGAGACCCCAACCAAGCTGTAACATTGGAAGTGGGGACTACGGTGCTGATGGTGTCTGGTGCGGTGCATGTGGTACTCGGTAAGAACTAGGAAGCAGCGATTAGCAGAGGCACCCAGTCAGGGTGCCAGGTGGTCTGCCACAATAACTAATCTTGAATAACACATCCTTTTTAGGAGATTCTCAAGGAGTACAAGAAAAGCAGTTTGGTGTTATTACATTTATGTTAAACAGTATTTAGTGTGTGCACTGACTTTTTCATCTTTAATACCGATTCAATCATAGTAATGGGAAGATGAAAGGTTGAATTGCTTCAGGTTTTAAACAGGTTAGAGGGAGAACATAGTTTTAGCACTCCAAATGAAGCAGAGATTGGTTTCAGTAACATTTGGAAAAATATCAGGCCCCCCCAGAAATAAGGGAAGGTAATGCAATATGTTGGAAGCTGGACTTTGTAGATGATTAACTGCTTACTGGAAATGCATGGGAGATTTGAAGAAATTTGAAACATGGCTGGTGAATTCCAGATTTAGTTAATTTCGTATAGTGGACAACTGAGACATGGACAGACCACTTAATAGTAGGGTGTAGTAGTCCATGTATGATACAAGTAGGAAAGGATACATTTTTTTTTTTTTGTAAATAAAGTTTTTATTAGCAGTTCAGACAATAACAGATAGCAGAGCTTATATCGTCAGTGAGACTCGCAGGTCTCCAATTGCGTCTGACATGAGTACCACCAGTTTTAGATGAATCTTTATAGAGCATTATCGGAAGCGGATGACTGCTGGCCCACATCAGTGAGGGCAGTACAATTCTATAGCTGAACCTCAATCAAATGGTGAGTAGTGCGGTAGGTCCCAGGTCACGTCCTCTTACATGGGGAGTGAGAAAGGGGTCGTTTTGCGGGATCGAGTCCTACAGTCGTGCACCTCGTCTGGGACTCCCTTTCCTGTTGTCTTTCCCTTAACTTCGGTGGTGCCTAGGTATGTTGCGGGTTCTCTCCTGGGTCAGCTACCCTCTCGTTCTGAGTCCGCATCCCCTCCCCCGCCGTGAGGCGGTACCCTCACGACGGGAGAGGGGGGAGCGCCCAGCGGCTTGGTCAGCTGTCTCTGTCGCTTTGCTTACTTGTGGTCGGTCATCGTTGTCATGCTTCCGTCGCTGTCCACGTGTGGTATCTGTGGTGTGTCTGGAGTGTTTCCCCCCTCGGATGGGGATGGTGTGATGTCTCAGTGTTCAGTTGTATCAGTCATCTAGGGTTGACTTGTGTTTCTGTTTATTGTAGGAGTTCCCACGTCATGGGACCCCCCCGAGTCTATTGAGCGATGTCTCGTTGGGCCCACGTCCCTTAGGGAAATCGTGGTGCCTTCTCGGGCTCAAATATATTGTGGCCCTTTTGCGCTGGGCGATCCCCGGCCTTGCCCGAGGAAAGAGAACGGGAAGAGATGGGGGGAGGTAGGGATGGGTGGGAATGTGTAAGGGTGGGAGGACTGGAAGGTGTGGGGCATAGCTATGGTGTGGCATGAGTCTATCCTGACTCCCGAGTTAGTCCATCAGGGCATGTCCGGTTGAGGTGGGGGGGGGGGAGAGAGGTTGTGTTAAGATGCGCGTGTTGGTCCAGCTGTCTGGGATCCCCGTGTTGACCCATCCCCCGTCCTTGGGAAAGGATACATTTAGACACTTTCTGGGTTGTTTAGAGAAGACATTTGGGTTGTGGATACAACCAGTAATAATAGCTCAATACTATTAAAAGAAATACAGTTGGTGCACTAACCTGTACTACTTGAAACTAGTATACATGTGATTTGTGATGGACAGAGTAAATTGATTGTAATTTTAGGTTACGGTATACACAGCTATTTTGTTCACATATTTCAGTAAGACCCCTTGATGTAGACCGGAAGGCCAAAAAGGAGCCACAACAAACGTCTGTCTGGCATCTCTGGATTATTAATTGATTCCAGATTTTTGAGTTATCTGTCCAAACAAATCTGAAGACAACATCTTCAGCATTGCATGGGAAAGAGGGACTTCGATTGGAGAGCAAAGATCAAATCAGCATCAATTATTAGTTCCCTTTGGCTATTCCTGACTGGTTTTCCACATACTTCTTTTACTAGGCAATATATTTTCAATCCATAATTTGACTATGTACACAGAGATAACAGCATTAGAATCCTGCCTATAGAGTTATTTTCAGAAGGACCTTTTCCCCTCCAGAATTACCCCCGTGGTGCAGAAGGGGTTAAAACCCACTTCTGTCACTTACCTGATTCCAGCGCTGATATCCATCTGCGCTGGTTCAGGCTCCACCTCTGTTCCTCAACCGCGACATCAACTGGCTTGGAGTTTACCCTGGCAGGTAATTATTGCAGTTTATCAAAAACTGCAATAATTACCATTGCAGGATTAAGGGACCTGGGACACTGCACCCAGACCACTTCAATGAGCCGTAGTGGTCTGGGTGCCTATAGTGTCCCTTTAAGTCCCCATTCACATCTGAATTATATTGAGTGAGCACAAAAGTAACAATGAATGTTACACTAAACAACTCATCACAATGGCTACTGACCAAAAACTGAGAAAAATACATTTTTAGATGTGACCTTTAATGTAAGATAAAGTATTTGTGTCCCATCAATATAATATCCCTAGCACACAAATCTTATCTTAAAATAGCTCTGTCTCCATAAATAAATCTCTTTAAGTGGAAATAGTATGCCAGGGCAAGTTAAAGTAGGAGTCAACTCATCCCTCTCTGGTCTGGGAGCCTAAGAGATACAGACAGTGAAAAAAGAGACATGGTAGAATGCAACATATATGGAAGCAGACCGTCAAAATGAATGTGACAGAAATTAAAAGATACAAACTGACAAACAAAAAGAGTGACAGGTGAAAACGTCAACTGACAAAAAGATTTTGGTTCAATATGACAGTTAATAACTGTGAGAGATTAAACAAGTGGAGTAAAGTGTCACTAGGATTCTGTTTGTCAATATTGCAGGCTGCATACAATTTCCCAGAAGAAATCACTAGATCATTGCTTCAAATACATTTTGTTGGATAAAAGCAGTATGAATCTAAAATAACAAAACCAAATACAAAACAGATGTGTTCCTATAATATAATTTAAAGTCTCACAATTTATTTTATTCATAAAAAAGAACAATAAACACATTATTTTCATACTGTAACATTAATTTTAATTTTTTTACAAATAGATTGTGGAACAGAATTCATTTTTCTTCACTTTGTTATATAATCAGCCACAGAACAGCGTACAAAATATTACAAAATAAATTCCCACAAATAAAATCACATGCCAGTAATTTAAAGCACCAACCAACTGTTAGGCCCTGGTTGGTATATGGTTTTGCCTGTAACACAAAAGACATAACACAAAAGACACACAAAGTGTAATTCTGCAATGGTATGCAATCCCTTTATTGTCCTGGCTACATTCAGATTCATGTTTAGTTGAGCAGCTCATTACTCCAAATCGGTTGCAAGTGGCACACTAAGCTGCCTGTGTCAAGGAGAGCCCTTACAAACTGTGCCGTTCCGGCGGTTTACGCCAAAAATCAGGAGCATAAAGTATGAAAGAGATAAAGGACTAGGAAGAAGCTGCAGGTGGATGAAATGCTTTGTTACAGAATGATTAGACATGGGAACCAGCTGTTGTTACATAGAGTAGTAAATGTGATGGGATTGGCTAAAGTGATGAGCTGGAGGAATGCCAGTGCAATTTTTAATATAAGATTTTATGTTATGGGTAGACATATGAGCACAGGATGTTGTTCATCTGGAATATGATACATTACATATGTGTCAGAAGACATTTGGTGTCTTGTGCAGGGAAACCATGATTTTATATCTCCATAAAGTCAGCTACAAACTTACAGTGTAGAGGAGATAAGGATCTGACAGACCTAAGTGCTTCATGTTACAGTAAGATGACGGCCAGTCTTTCTGGAGGAGTGCTACTGAAGCCTCATAGCAGGGGAAATAATCAAATGGACAAGGCTGCTTGATTCCATTAAATGAGTGTTGCCCGTGGGGTCATCTAACAGTGAGTTAGTAAACATCAAGGTGACACAAAAGTATGGTTACACAATATTTTGGAAGGAACATATTTATTGTAGTGTGAAAATGGAATTTTGTCCAGGTGTCCACATGCCTTCATAAACCTCTAGATTGTAGGCTTGTTCGAGCATGGCCCTCATTCACCTCCTGTTCCTGTTTTTATCTTATTTTCTGTGATGTCCCTATGTTAAAATTGTAAATGATTGCAGAATATGGTAGTGCAATATAAATAACAATAATAATAATAAATACTTTACGACACAGGTAACAAGTTTACACTGGAATATCAGCTGACTGAAAGGAATACTTTGTCTTGTAGGTTGTGGGCGCTGTAACACTCATGCAGCCATATCACCACGACAAGAAAACGGTACCACAGAGATGTAATAACTACTCCTAGAATTCTAGAATATCTCTGTAGCCATATGCTTTATTTTAACACCGCCATGTTGAAAATGGTCACAGGACTACAAACAAATAGCATATTATGGTCACATGACAAACAAAAAGCATATTATGCAATGTGAGTAGTGACATACACACTGCCACCACCATCACACTGGCATACATACAGACATACAAAAGCACACATTTATCTGTGGCAATGATTCACTTTAAAGGAACACTATAGTGCTGCCCTACAAAGGGTTAAAAGGTACATTTTACTTACCTTACATCACAAGGCATGCTTCTCCATGCTGAAGCAGTCTTGATGATCTCAGCCAATCCAATGCTTCCCATAGAGAAGCATTGGGGTGGATAGTATGCGTTCATTGCAAAATGACACACTGTGCCAATCAAATGCTCTTACTAAGAGTCATTCGATTATAGCTGTGGAAGCGCCACTAGTGGCTGTCTTAACCATGTAAAACATCAATGTTTACAGTTACAAGATTACAGAGACAGGGATATGGTGCCCAGACCACTTCATTGAGTTAAAGGGTCTGGCTGCCTGTAGTGTCCAAGGCAAATAACACAAACGCACACACTATTTAGCAGTAATACATACAAACATTAAGTACACGAGTGGGAAACAGACAAATGCAACCTTAAAAATAAAGCAGAAATGAAATGAGCATGATTAACTCATGATTTCCAAGGAAGTTCCCGTCTGCAAAGAGTTAAACGTGCAACTTTAACAAACAGCCATACACACTACACACCACAGGCCCTTAGCAACTGCTGCAATAAATCAATAAGCAAGCCAGCCTGCCAGTTAGACTAAACAGACACACTCTTTTTTTTCCAAGCATTGCTGACCCTCATTAATCACTCTGACAGCCCTAAAAACACATTTCCCCCTTTAATGACTGTATTTGAGTAATCAGTGGCTTTCTTCCTCAGTTAGATTTGGGAGGAACAGACAGCTGGTGTTATTGTATGCATTCATCAGTAGGAGAGAAGAAAGCATTGAGGTCAAACGGGAGTCAAACTCCGTGGGTCTCCCTTCTGAAGAGAGACTTGTTATGCAATAGTAGAGTAGATTCCAGCATTGCCCAACACATTCTAAATCGAACCCCCTGGGGGTAGTTTTCTATACATACCAATCCCTGGAAAGACATGCCACCTAGACCCTTTTGTTGGCAATCTGGCAAAACAGAGGTTAAACTGTGCAATTACTCTATGTATGGTCTTCTAGAATGTTAAACATTATTTGTACAACTTAACATTACGGCGGCAGATTTGATAAAATAAAACTGTAGAAAAGTGTAAATTGAGCGATGAGAAACTGTCTATGTATTATGCTAATTATTTCGCAATGTTATCCATGGCAGGGAAACTGTTGATGAGTTTTGTACCGCAGACCTGTCCTTGATGTCACTTCCAGGCACAGTGTGCTAACCAGCTACTGTACAAATGAATGTCCACAAGGGTTTCTGCTCCAGCTTTTTGAAAATAAAAATTGTATGGATCACCCATCCAACTTAAAGGGATAGTATAAGCACCAAAACCACTGCATTGAAGATTTGTGATCACAGGTGCTGTCACAAGTAACTTCAGGTTATTTAAAAAAAAAATCATAATTTAATCTATTTGACATTCTGTGTAAGCCCGATTTTGCTCCCCGCCCCAACCTATTGTGCATTACCCACTTAAGCCCAAGAGATGCCATGCCCTTTTAAAAACCAGTGCATCTCCAGTCATCAGTAAAGAAGATAATGTAAACTGAAAATATAATCATGACAGAAACGTGTTTTTTCTAACACACCATTATTAGTAGCCCTTAAAATGCCAGTAAATTTGATTTACTGTGTTTTGCAACTAAAACTGGGGGGATCCAACTCCACTGCATAAGAAGTATGTTGATGCCTACATTTTTGTGACCAATGCGATTGGCGGATCGTGGTGCTAACTGAACATGCACCATATGTCTGCAAAGATTCTCTGTGAGAAGCATTTCATTGAATGAAAATCAATAAGCTTGGCAATTACATAGATGGAGGGTCGAGCAGCAGTGAGGAGTCTGTCTCTGCATTAGATTACAAGTATGTTCAATTAAGAATTAAACCATACTATCTCAAATTTTGTCCCTGAAGTTATCACTTCATCTCTGGACAACCTTTTACTCTTTCTGTTGGATCTTCTACATCTTTTTAAGTTTCTGTTTCCTTTCTATATTATTATCATTATTATTATTTATAAGGCTAAAACAAATTCTGCAGCACTGTGCAATAGATGGACTAACAAACAAGTAATTGCAACAAGACATGTTGGATGTACAGCAACAGATGGTGCTGAGGGCCCGTCTCAAACGAGCTTACATTCTGTTCACATTCTAACCCGCTATGCTTTGTTCTGTAATGTGCCATTGGCATGTGATTTTTTGATTGACTGCCCCATGCCTATATTATTTTCTCTCTTTCTTTTATGGGACATTAGTGTTTTCCTTTTGTTCATTTTGGTTCTTCTCTCACCCTTTTAGAAATGGTCCCACTCTCATTTTTTAGATTCTCCTCATGTTTGCCTTTTGTTTCTCTGTCACCCTGCACCCACTGGTATTCTAACCTGCTCACTCTTGTTGACCTGGCAGCACACATCAGGAAGCACATCAACTGACCTGTATGGGAAATTTCATGCAGTGCTTCCTCCTACCAGAACAAGAATCCTAGACCTTCTAAAACAAGACCCCCACTGATGGCAGCCCTGACACTTGTTACTGTGTAGTTAACATTGCAGGCCAGCCATGTAAGTGAGATTACCAAATGTGAAGTTGATAGTAATGTTATAGTCATTAGGAACACTTAAAGGGACACCGTAGGCACTGTATCTGCTTCATCACATTAAACTGGTTATAGTGTCTGGAGTCTTCTGGTCCCATCATTTCTATCAGCATTAAACAGTTTTTAATGTTTTAATGTTTTAATGCTAAACAAGAGTCCCCGGCAATCCATCCCCTCTGTGCTGCTTTTGCTAATAAGGAAGTATTAGCCTGAGCAGAAATGGGCAGCTGTGATTGGCTGAGAGTGTCAGCTGACTGCTTTTAGCCTGTCAGAGTTCCAACCGACAGTATGAGTGGGTATGACAACAAGGAAGTGTGTAATCTTTGCCTTAGCTACACATACTGAAGGGGCCGGACTGTGGGTGGCCAGGGACTCTTATTTTGTGGCATACTGCACGAACATAGTGCAACACTGAATGGAGGGACAGTGCTAGGGTACTCCAGGCACTATAACCAATTCAAAGAGATGAAATGCTTATAGTGACTACAGTGTCCCTTTAAGAAAGCCTAACTGTGCAAGAAACGGGTGATTTGGAGTCAGTACTTGGAATTACAATTTTATAGAAGGGTTCCAGTAGGATGCATATTTAGATAGATTCCATATTTTTATGAATTCCACATTCTCGGCATAATTTAGACTTTGTAGTAAACAGCATTTGCTTTTTTTAATTCTGCACAAATGTGGCACGGACTTCACAGGTAAGTTAGAGTTGTTAGTATAGTTTAAGTTTTCCTATACTGACACACAATGTCATCTATGTTTTTGTGATATTTCCATCTGTGTAAAAATCTGTGCTATTTGAGCTACATGGATGCAACATACGTTTGTTTTTTTTACATAGTGACTGCAACTTTTGCATGTCTTTTGTACTGAGAATAGTCCATGAAGGGTAAAACATGGAAAGTGCATGGAAGAAATTGTGGTAGGATGTTTGATGGTTATTGCCTTTTTGTGATCAAAGTGCAATCTGTGAATTTTGATACAGACTCCTGATCAGATATACCCTTCAGTAGAACGTTTACTTTTATATTGGCAGTCACTGTCTAGTTGCTGAAGTAGCTAATCTATTGTGACCATAACTGTAAACATTACGTATTAGTCAATTAATAAATCATTAATATTATACTACAAAAAATATTAAAAAGCACATGCAATTACCATGACATGTCCAATTCACAAAGCTTAACATGGATTACAGGAACACGCTAAATTACTAAAAAATATATATTTATTTATTTTTAAACTTAGAAATGTTCTTTATACATTTAGATTACTGACCTCCTCTTTTAAAGTCAGAAAAAAAGACAGACAAAAATAAAAAAAATAAAACAAAATACCATTAAAATTAACGTTTGCACACTCTCACTACTCCTTCTCTACTGAGATGATCAGTTGTGATCATGATCTCCATCCAATCCAGTACTACCCATCGAA